CTGTGCCTCAGTTTCCTTGATGTAAAGTGGAGATAACTACTTACTCATAGGATTGTTAGGATTAACAAGATAACATGTGAATAGGGCCTGGCACATAGTAAGTTGTATGTAATTATCAGTTTCTGTTACTGACACACTCCCTCCCTGCACACTCAAATCCTGCTTAGTGATGCCAGCCTGCTTACCTCACTGACTGTAATGTGGAACCTTCGTCCCTGCCAATACCCCACCCAAACCCCACACACTCTGGGAGTCACACATCAAGAGAGGAAGGAAAATTGATCCCTCTCTTAAAGAAGTCAGGGCTCTTTATTAAGATGACAGGGCCCAAGCACCCCTTGCCTGCGTCTTCACAGCATGCTTATTTCCACTACTGCAGTATTGCAGTGTGCCACCCCTTACCCTCTCACCTACCTTCCCAAACCCCACTTCCTTACCATGCCGTTCAGAACTCAGACATAGTATGTGTCTATCGCACATATTAAGGCTTTGTCCTGAACTCAATGCTGGGTAAAAAACCTAAAACCTAAATTCTTATTGTCTTTTTATTATCTTTAATTTTTTTTGGTCTTTTATATCTTATTGCCAGTCATTTTTATTGCCTTTTCTACAAACCCAGTGTAGGTGATTCTAGCACCAAAGGGTGACCAAACTTTTGCAGAGAAAGTTGGGGAAGACACAGTGATGAGGACAGTATGGAGATGGTTTCTGCTTAAGTCCTGGTTTTTAAAAGGGTCCAATAGATTTTTGACATTATAGTAACTACTTGAAAAGATAACTACTTGATAACATTTTTAATATGACAATCATAAATTGTGTATCACTTATTCTAAACCCAAATAAAATGGTATATTGTCTTTTCTCCTTGCCAGTCTCCTAAAATGTGTATAAGGAAATAAAATATTCTAAGCCAGAATAAATATTTCAGTGTCTTAGATCTCTCATCTATATTTATAAACCAATTAAAAAAAAATATATGGTGCCAAAGCAATTTACCACAGCTGCACAATGAGCTACATTCTCCAAAGTGAGAGAGTTTGATAAGCACCTTAGAGATCCAACTGCATCATTTTACCTACTCTAGACCCGGGCAGCAAACATTTTCTTAAAGGGCCAGACACTCAATATTTCAGGCTTGGTGAACCACATGATTTGTCATCACTACTCAACTCTGTCACTGTCGCACAAAAGCAGCCACAGACAATACAGGAACAAATGGGCATGGCTGTAATCCAGTAACACCTTACTTATGGATGCTGAAATTTGATTTTCATATAAGGTTCACGGGTCACTAAATATTATACTCTTCTCTTGATCTTTTCAAACCATCTAAAAAATATAAAAACCATTTTTAACTCATGAGTGGTACGAAAACAGGCAGTGGCCTGGATTTGCCCATGGCCCATACTTTGAAGAATCCTGCTCTAGATTCTCAAGTTCATGCTTTTCAACTTGTTTAGGAAAAAATTATTCTGACACTTGTTAAAATGGTAAGGAAAACTTTATTCAGGACCATAGCTATAAGTGTCAAGAAAATAAGGGAGAGAGATTGGGCTCAACTCTGAATCCAACAAGACCTGGGGATTTATAACAATGAACAGAATGGGGGATCAGTGGGTGGAAAATTACTAAGAGGAGACTCACTAAACCAACTTAGGAATTTCTTGTTGAAGGCAGGCCCAGGACTTTATACATCAAAGGTGGAAGATGAGAAATTTGATCAGATATTAAGGGTGGGGGATTCTCTCTAAACTGACTTATCAGGATTCTAACTAAACCTGGGCTGTGCAGGCCCAGCAAGGACAGAAGAGGGCTTGGAGCCTGACTAGAGTTTGGTCAAGGAGAGAGCCTTTGTCAGACTACACCACAAAGCTTCCTTAACAGTCACTGATACATGGTGTTTAGCCCAATATCCACTTAAAAATCAGGTGAGAAATAATTACATGAGCCTGTTTTTACTAGCTCAACTTGAAAGAACGTAAGATCCTAAAGATGTCAAACTTTCACCAGAACTTATGCCAGTCTTACCCATAAAAATAACGTCACCCATCACTCCTTTCCTCAACTACACACAATTAGCATTTTACAAAGTAAGGAAATAGTTGGCAATTGTCCTCACAGATGAAGTCAATGTAGTCTCATTTGTTTGCCAAAAGGGAGGGAAACCAGTTCCTGATGCCTCTTTTCCCTGGGGCTATCCAAGGCCAGTTGATGCAAAATGACTGGGAAGGACAAGCTTTGGCTTCATCACAGATTTTTAACAGGGAACCTATGCTACTTTAAAAAAATTAAAATCACTTTTTTTTAAAAAGAGCCTTGGCTTGGCTTTTGCTATTTTTACTCACACTCATTTTGAAAGCAGCAGTGCTGAAAACATTTTAAGTCTAGATGTCTCTATGGAAACCCATGAGAACTCATATTTTACGGCCAAATGACTACATACCTAGAGTTCTGTATCCCGAATGGATCACCATAGGTCTTCTGCAATATCAGAAACATCTTAGACCTATTTTTCCGAAACCCTATCTTATGAGGTATAAGAAATTTATATAATTATTACTTTTGCTGAGAAGGAAATCAGGAGGGAAATAACTTATTTCTGAGGCTTCCTTTTCATTTTTATTAAGACATCACTATTTTAAATATTCTTATTAGAAAAATAATTTTGTAAATTTTGGCAGATGTAGTAAAAGAGGAAGAATAAAACCAAATAATTTAACAGCTGCTTTGAAATTAATGTCATTAATTTTCCTTGTCTCCTTTCCATCAGTGTCAAATACATTTTCTTTTAAAAATGTAACAGTTCCTCTCCCCACAGATTGCGTATTTATTACAAGGGAGGGAAGAAAGGTAATTATATAGGAAGAAATCAGAAAACACCTTGACCAGGTGACCTAAATTAACATCACCAGTGAAGACAGATGGCCTTTGTGTGCCTCCAGATGCAATACCTGGAGAGAAACATAACATGACCCAGATTGCATAACATGAACCTAATCGTGAAAAAACACCAAATAAATTCAAAATGAGGCCCCCCATTCTATTATTAAGAAAAGAGGAGGGGGCAGAATGACTATATTATTAAGAAATGTTAATGTTATAAAAGACAAATAAAGGCTATGGAAATATTCTAGATTAAAAGAAGCTAAAGATATAAGACAACTACATGCAACACCTGACCCTAGAGTGGATCTGGTATTGTAGGGAGGTGGGGGAAATTCTCGAAAGGACATTATTAGGTAACTGGAAAAATTGGAGCATAAAGGGTAGATTAGATAAAAGTACATCAATGCTAAGTTTACTGAAGTCAATAACTACTGTGGTTATATAAAAGAATATCCTGTTTATGAAATACTGAAGCATTTCGGGGTAAAGGGCATAATATATGATATATATAACTTTCCAATAAAAAGTTTAAAGAAAAATGAACAGTTCTTGCCTACATTGGAGTTCTTGGCTATCTATTTTCTCTCCATAATATTCCAAATACAACACAGGAAGAGATGCTTGTGCCAAGTAACAAGAAAATGCGAAGATATTTTAACATGATCTTTTACCAGTGATTGAAGCCTGCCAAAGTATTACATACCACCCATTCTCAGCAGATTTGTTGCAAAGACCAGCAAACAGTGGATACTCTAGCAGCTTAGATGTAACTATTTCCCGTACTTTCTCTAAACAGGGCAGTGATTTAAAAAAATTTTGTGTCCCACAACTCCCAGAACTATCTCATATACAAAACAAGTCTCTTAGGGCCGGCCCGGTGGCGCACTGGATAGTGCGCTGCTTGGGAAGTGCGGCGGCGCTCCCGCCCGAGGGTTCGGATCCCACATATGGACCGGTTCCCGCTCACTGGCTGAGCGAGGCGCGGGAGCAACGCCGAGGGTTGCGATCCCGTTGCCGGTCCCCTGTCTGGTGCGGGGGCAACACTGAGGGTTGCGATCCGTTGCCGGACACGGAAAAGACAAAAGACAAAAAAAAAAAAAAAAAAAAAAAAAAAGTCTT